AGGAATACAAGTTAGTCTTCATGTATGCTCTTTCACTTAATTATTATGTTGCTAAAATTGCTTGCTAAAGGTACTATTAGCAGTGTGCTGTGGTGCACACCTGTAATCTCAGTGATTCAGGAGGCTAAGGCAGGARGACTGCAAGTTCAAGGCCAGTCTTGGTAACTTAGGGAGACCCTGTCTCTAAATAAAAGATAAAAAGGGAAGGTGAGGGCTGGGGTTGTGGCTCAGTGGTAGAACACTTTCCTAGCATACGTGAAGCACTGGGTTCGATCCTCAGCACCATATAAAAAAATAAACAAATAAAATAAAGGTATTGTGTCCATCTATAACTAAAAAAAATATTTTTTTTTTAAAAAGGACTGGTGATGTGATGTAGCTCAGTGGTAGAGTGGCTCTGGATTTAATCCCAGTTTTTTTTAATTACTATTATTAGGGATTTAGTATAGTTAATTTCCTTATAATTTTTTTCTCACAGGAGAACATTTCATACATGAGCCTTCTAAAGAAAACCTGCACTCTTAACTTTCATTAAGATATTATTTTTAAGCTACTGTGTTAGGCTGCTATATAACTCAAGTCACTTGAAATCCAATAGAAATAGGGAAAAGATATATAAAGAAGATTAAAGAGACTACAAATTTAAAACCCCAAAATACTTAAAATAGGTGGGTGTGTAGTTCAGTAGTAGAGCACTTGCTTAGTACCCAGTCTTTTCATTGTTAATTTTGAGACAGTGTTTTGCTAAGTTGCTTAGGGCCTTGCTAAATTACTGAGGCTGGCCTCAAATATTTGAGATCCTCCTGCCTCAGCTTCTGGAATCACTGGGATTAAGGATATAAGCCACCATGCCCAGCAATTTTCCAAACCTTATGGATAAACAATTAAGACATAATATTCAGATTTTTTTTACACTGAGCTACACCCCCAACTTTTTATTTTGTATTTTGAGAYAGGGTCTTACTAATTTGCTGAGGCTGGCTTTGAACTTGCAATCCTCCTGCCTCAGCCTCCTGTGCTACCGGGATTACAGGTGTATGCCACCCTGCCTAGCTTAAATATTTACATTTTAAAATAAGAGCATTAAGCTAGATTACTTCTGTTTCTTCCCATTTAAAAAAGAAATTTAATGGGCTGGGGATGTGGCTCAAGTGGTAGCACACTCGCCTGGCATGCGTGCAGCCCGGGTTCGATCCTCAGCACCACATACAAACAAAGATGTTGTGTCCGCCGAGAACTAAAAAATAAATATTAAAAAATTCTCTCTCTCTCTCTCTCTGTAACTCTTTAAAAAAAAAAATTTAAAAAAGCAGAACAATTCTATGACACTAGAAAAGAATTGCCCTTATCTGTGTAAGGTTATTTCTGGAGTTGGGGAGGATATTCATATATTTCCAGTGGAAGAACTGAGTGACTCAAGAGACAAGGAAAACACTGGAAAAATGCAGTAGACTATCTTCAACAGAACAGTGAGAAGTCTCCTTATTAGGATAGTTGCCATCATTTTAATGTGCAGCATGAATCAAATGGGGAATTGCTAGGGAATTACTATGAACGATGGCCACGATGACAAAAGCCTTAAGGATATTAACATGTCCTTGGATCTGCTGCTCAAAAGATGGCTAAAATCTTAGGCAAATATCTATCCTTTGAGTCTGTTTTTTTAATTTCTAAAATAAAAATATACATGCATAGATTTGTATTTATAAGATTAGACCAGACAATATCAAAGAGGTCTTCCAATACCCTGTTGTATATCAGTCTATCTGTGAATGGTAGGCTAACTGAGGAAAGTATACGATGTTGTGATGAGAGTAACTGTTATAGACCTGGATCTACTAATTATTTGGGTTTAAAGGGAAATCATTATCAGGTGAGTGCTATAAATTATGGTAAAATAAAATCTAAAAACAGTATAATTACTACAAGTTTTTCAGCATGTGTAAATATTTTATTATTAAGTTGAGTGACAATTCCTGCAACACTCTCTAATGGAGCTTATTTTGAAATAGATGTGTCTATATCTATAGATACATATAAAGATATACTATTAAACTTGTTTATAAAGGATAATTGACTTTTATTTTTGAATACATATTTGCTTAAAATCAGTGAATTTCTAGGCCAGGTTCTGGTAACTAGAGGAAATATATTGTCTAGATCCAAGGTATGTTGCAAACATAGTCTGAAATGGGAAATAACATCTTTCTGAAGAAAGGCTTAGAAATTCTAATCCATTAAGTTTAGGTGTTTTCCTTTTGGTGGTAGCTGGGCTGATTGATACCTGGCTGCTAGGTCACCGCTTACAGGCATAGCCATAAAAACAGGGTACAGACTTCTAAAACAAAATGGAATCCACTCCATGTCATGCTACAGGTTTCACAATTCAAATCATCTGTACTCAAAGGTAAACTTTCAAAATTTTTGGAAGATGCATTCACTGTCAAAAATGGGAACACTGCCATTGATAAGCCAACAGCTATTTGGGCCTGTGTCACATGCAAGACGCCCCAAAAGACTGTTTTGGCCACAAAGAATAATGTGTGGATCCATGTTCAAGTAGATTCCTTTCTGCTTCTGGTTGTTGTTGAATTTTTTCTGGCTATGATATTAAAAAAATGAGTTTTCCTTGATAGTATAAGGCGGTTTGTGATTTTTCATCTTGACCCTGTTGCTCTTTTCCCAACAGCCAGTGCCTCTCTAGTTCTTCCTCTAACCCACCAGGGCTTAAGGTACAACCTTTACTCCGCTCATCCCACGCAGCCATCATTGGCTGACACATGACTCCGCTTTAAAAAGGATAATTAACTTCTATTAAATGTTTTTGAAGATTCTCAGGCATTAATTTCTAAGGAGAAATTCCTAACCCAGCAACTACTTGCCACCTAGTGACAGCTCCATAAATTACAGTTATTAGACGTAAAAAGAATTCAATTCCTAAGGATACTGGCCATTCAATTTTAGGTTAAACATTTTGGGGGGAACTTATACACAAAGCATTTTTTTCCCCTTTCCAGTCCAATTACTTGAACAGTTTACCTTTTATAGAACATTCAGTACATTTCCATGACAAGTCTGATTCATAATGCTTGAGACTTAAACATCTTTGATGCTTCAAAAGTTCAGGTATGACAGATTCTTTGCTTGACCAAACTTAAGTCAGGCTCCTAAACTTCTTCAGCCCACCTATGTACTTTCTTGTAAAATAGTTTTAACAAAGAACGCTAAGTCAGTTTAACAGGAGAACTTCTCACCCTCTGCATCTGATCAGGTTTCTCATGCTCCATCACCCCCTCAGTAATGTCTCATCACCCTGGCTTGTCTTCAGCAAAAATCCTGTTAGTCTGTTAGCAGACTCTTTTACTTCTGAAGTTTCTTCACAGTAATTTTCCATCCATTGACCCTGTCTTAGTCTATTTTGTGCTATAACAGAATGCCTGAGACTGGGTAATTTATAAAGAATGGATTTATTTTATTAGAGTTCTGGAGGCTAAGAGATTCAAGGTTGAGGGGCCCAAATCTGGTCAGGGCCTTCATGTTGCATCAACCAATGGCAGCAGGCAGAAGGGCAAGAGAACCTGCATGTAGGGGCAAATTCCATTTAAAAATTTTTTTTTAGTACTGGTGATTGAACCAGAGGCACTTTACCACTGAACTATATTCCTTTTTACTTTTTATTCTGAGACAGTCTCACTAAGTTTCTGAGGGCTTTGCTAAGTTTCTAAGGCTGGCTCTGAACTTGCAATCCTGTCTCAGCCTCCTAGGTCACTGGGCTAGAATTGATAATTTTAAAAGGTATTTGGAGGCTGACGTGTAGCTCAGTGGTACAGCACTTGACTAACATGCCCAAGGTCCTGAATTTGATCCCTGTTGCTTTTTWWWAAAAAAAAAAGCTATTTTGATAAGGTTATTCCATATTCTCAGCAGAGTATAACAGGAGATGTTGGGCTGGGGTATATTTGGAGAATGTGACTTGAAGAATAACCCAGTTCCTCACAGGAAAAACATCTAAATTGGTAATGATAGTTTCTGCCTGTTCAGGAYGAGATTGTGGGAAATCAAGAGAACTAATTCAATGGGGGCTTACCTTTTTTATCTCCAATCATATCACCTAGAAATTCTAGCAATTATATTATTTGGTTGAAGAAAGTATTATGTTGCCAGCATCTTCTTGTTACATTATCTATAAATTATATGCTAATAACCAGCATCACACAAACATAATCACTTTGCAACTCTGTAATGATAACCAGACTCGGTCTAGGAATTACTGGGACCAGACCCTAACCCAATAGAATCCAAAATATGACTGGAGTAGACAGCTCTTTCACCCTACCCAACATCCATGTTTTCACCTCAATGATATTTCGGAAAAGAACTGTTTTTAAACATCTGAGTAGGGCTCTCCATCAAAGCCCCTCAAACCATAGGACTGACATATAATCCCAGGTAAGGGTAAACAGACTGCTAGGCATTTGACTCATGAGCACAATGGCATAATATTAAAAAAATAAAAGAGCTGAGATATTTTGATGGTAGGACTCTAGAAGGTCTGACTCTCAGCTTCTATAACCTAGATTCCTAAAGTTACCCTAGTTTTATCCTTCCTAAGGCTGTTGGCCCAGCTTTTGCTTAGATTTTACAAACTATCTTCTGTCCTGATAACTTTTGTCTTGCTGAAGTTAACCCAAAGAAGTTTCTTCTGCTTGTAGTCCAAAAAGCCTGTGTGATTCACTACTGAGTCAGCTGTTTCCTTAAACTGGAAAGTTGTACTTTTACTCTGGTGGTGGTGAGCTCAAATGCAGGGCCTTAGGCATGCTGGGCAAGTGGTCTACTACTGAGCTACACTCCCAGTCCTAGAAAAGCTATAGTCTTAACATGTTAATGTTTACTGTGGATGATACTAAAGAAATTTTTAAAACAAAACACATTTCTTCCAGAATAATAGTGACCAAAAAACCTTTAGTAACTGGCTTTAGTCTCCACTTTTTCAAACATACTTTAAATAAAAAATGATTATACATACATATATTAGTCCTCTTTATTCTGTATAAATAAGATTACAACTTTTAAATGTTTAGTTCTAAGAAATAGAGAACTAAAATATGTAAACATTTTGGCTAATGCCAAGTCAAAGTCACACAAAACTACCTTCTATTGAAAACCGAGTGGGGAGACAGTTATGACTGTGTTTTCACCTATGAAGAATTCAACTGCATTCACTCTTTCATCTCCTAAGGATATTTTCAGAAACAGCATAAACATTGTTATGGCAGTCTAGCTCTGAAGTGAAAACATGGGCTGAGTTACAGCTTACTACAATGACCCACCTAAGACTCTTTGAAAATTAGCCATAGATTGAAATATTTACATAAGTTCAAGACTTTGTTCAACAATGAAACATTAACACAGGTCCTTAAAGCGCCTTTAAAAATAACAAACTTTTCAGTTTCAACCAATCAAAGCTTTCATTCAGAAATGTTTCTTAAATATCAAATTTCTCTTCACAGACACTGTGTCCGTTTTCTTCATAATCTTCTCTTGTAACCACCATATCTTCAAAATCGTCATTTTCTGATATCAATTTTCCACCTTCCCAGGCATAAGTAATAGGGCTGAAAATAAAGGTTAAAAAAAAATGAACCCAGATGATTTTACAGAAATTAACTGATGATTTACGGACATGAACAACTGAAAGCTTCAGACACTAATTACCAACTAAAATATTTCAAGTTCTAGCCAAATGAACTTAAAAGGAAAATCACTCAAGGCGTAGAAATAAGCAAAAGTTTCACATCAGTTAATTCAAAAGGCAAGGAATCTTGGTTACAAACCACTGTAAAATAGTGAGGTTTCTGCCCCTCAGTGCTGTGGTACATGCCTGTAATCTCAGAAACCCAGGCAGCAGAGGCAAGAAGATCTCAAGTTCAAAAAACAAAACTAAAAATAAAATAAAAATTTAAAAGGGCTGGGAATGTGGCTCAGTAGTAAAGCACCCCATGGTTCAATCCCCAGTAACACTACACACCCAGGGGGGATGGGCTGAGGTTGTRGGTCAGTGGTAGAGCACTTGCCTAGCCTGTGTAGGCACTGGGTTTGATTCTCAGCACCACATATGAATAAATTAATAAATAAAATAAAGTTCCATTGACAATTTTAAAAATATTTTTTAAAAAATGGGAGGGGGAGTTCTCCAATTCCCCTGATTTATCAACTCTCTACTTTGATAAAAATATAAGCTAAAAGATAACTAAAAGGAAAAATAATGTCATAATTGAGTCTAAGTTCTGCTTGTGACAAAGATATGTCACCTAATTAATTCTCATAGCAACTCATGAAAGCTATTATAACTCCACTTTATTTAAAAAGGTTAAATCTGGAATTAGGATTTAGCCTGGATCTAGGATTTAACTCAGAATTTTCACAGTCTGTTCTTTTGCTGCCATATTTTGTTGCAGCAATAATAAACACATTTTAAAACACTGCATGATAAACAATTACATGCTAGGACATACACAATAGGTCAAAATTAGAGCAGATAAGATATTTAAGTTTGAATTTGCTATCTGCAACAAAAGTTATACTCTGTGTTATGACTCAATACTATTTCTACTTTTCTTCTCTCCCAATTTAAGGAGTTTCAAATCTGAAAATGGTAAAGAAAAAAGCTAAGCAAAAAATATTCTCTGTATTCTATTTATTATATTTCCTAACCTTTTATAAAAACAGATTTACATATATCTCTCTTTCATTTATATTTTTATGAAAGATATATATGTGTATACATATATAATAGATGCACAATCAAGATTTATTGAATGAAAGAATAAAAACTGGGGCTGGGGTTGTGGCTCTGTGGTAGAGTGCTCACCTAGTATGTGTGAGGYGCTAGGTTCGAGCCTCAGCATAACATAAAAATAAATAAATAAAATAAAGGCATTGTGTCCAAATACAACTAAAAAAAAAAATTTAAAAAAAGAATAAAAGCTATTTCTGTGGATCCTCTGGCCTGTGATGTGTTTATGTAGGATGAAAAAATAATATTCTATGGGGCATGGTGGCACATGCTTATAATATCAGCAATTTGGGAGGCTGAGCAGAACCAACCTTAGTAACTTAATACGACTCTGTCTCAAAATACAAAAATGACTGGGGATGTAGCTCAGTAGTAAGTACCCCTGGGTTTAATCCCCAGTACCCCCCACCCACACACACAAATGCAATATGGTTCACATTCTAAAGAGTATACAAACATTATTGAAAAAAATCATTCCAGTATTTAACAACTGTTTATTCCTTTATTTATTATCTATAAAAGAAAATGATCTAATGACGGTCTTCTGTTAACTGCCATCAACTTTGAAAAATTTTTCTTTAGATTTAAAACAAAATTCTAAAATCAACTAGAGTTAGGTATGTGGGGTTTTGTTTGCAACTCTGCTACTAACACTAACGGTGGATTATTTAGACATATCTTTGGTAAGTAACTCCTAGTTACTGCTATTATTGAATAAAAAGCCTTTGTTTATTTATAATATAAGAACAGTGAACAAGATAGCCTGTAAACCCACGCTCTAAAATTCTACCTTAATTTTTTTTACTGCTGAAGTGGAAATGACAGTATCTCTCCTTCTCATAAACAGAGTAGGAGGTAATATAAAACAATTTTAAATTAAAAAAAGACTAATTCAAATATAAAAGTTCATTGAAAACATTTAGAATTTTTTAAAATTCTAAAATTTTTTAAAATTCCATATAACTTAATGGTTTAATTCTTATAATTTCTTTTTTGGGGGCAGTATACTGGAGATTGAACTCAGGGGCACTGAACCACTGAGCTACATCCTCAGCCCTTTTTTGTATTTTATTTAGAGACACGGTCTCACTGAGTTGCTTAGCACCTAGCCATTGCTGACGTTGGCTTTGAAACCATAATCCCCCTGCCTCAGCCTTCTGAGCCACTGGGCAAGTGCCACTGACAATTTCTATTCTTGATAGAAACTGTCAAGAAATGACATCTCGGGCTGGGGTTGTGGCTCAGTGGTAGAGTGCTCACCTGGCACAGACAAGGCCCTGGGTTCAATCCTCAGCACCACATAAAAATAAATAACTACAACTAAAAAATAAATTTAAAATTAATTAATTAATTGATTAATGATATTGTATCCAATTACAACTAAAAAATAAATATTTTTTTTAAAAAAGGAAAAAAAAGAAATGACATATCAGGTAATTCAATAAATGATAATTCAATTTCTTTGCCTATAAAAATCTCTTAGGAATAAGGACTGATTTACCATATGAATTGGTCTAATGTTAGTTATGTACAAACATGATGGCTGATATTTTATACTTCATTTCATTTTTTCATATTTAGTTTTTAGTTGCAGTCGGACACAATAACTTTTATTTATTTATTTTATATGTGGTGCTGAGGCGAACGCTTTACTGCTGAGCCACAACCCCAGCCCTTCATTTCATTTAATTCACTAAAATGGTTTATCATTTTAATTTTTGAGATAAGAAAATGAAGACCCAACACGTGAAATRCCAAGGTGGTAAAACCAGATTTTAAACTCAAGTCTCCTATATACCACCTTACCTACCAGATGACATCCATGCTTTATTTCTATATAAACCAACACTTACTTTTCAGGCAGCACAACAGAAACATCATAATCTGTGGGAGTGAGACATCGAACTTCTGAATAAACTCGATCCCTAAATCCTGGGAAGAGGGAATT